GCTGGGCTGGTGGTCGGCAGGCTCCTGGCTAGGCTGGAAGGTAGGCTCCCCACTGGGCTGGAAGGCAGGCTCCCGGGTAGGCTGGACCGCAGGCTCCCAGTTGGGCTGGACCGCAGGCTCCCAGCTGGGCTGGTGGTCGGCAGGCTCCTAGCTAGGCTGGAAGGCGGGCTCCCCACTGGGCTGGAAGACAGGCTCCCGGGTAGGCTAGACCGCAGGCTCCCAGTTGGGCTGGACCGCAGGCTCCCAGCTGGGCTGGTGGTCGGCAGGCTCCTGGCTAGGCTGGAAGGCGGGCTCCCGGGTAGGCTCGACCGCAGGCTCCCAGTTGGGCTTCCGCTCCTTGATTGCCCTGGTTGGTTGGGCTGACTCGAGCTCTGGGTTGCTGGGCTTGGGCCCGCTGGTCCAAGTTCGGGGCCTGGGCCGATTAGGCTCTGGGCCTAGTCCCATAACCCCATCAATAACAGTCAAAAGGTTAACAAAAATGAAAATGGTTAGATGATGGTAGATCATGTCTATGCTAGGTGTAGTATTATGAAGATCCTGGGTTTGATTTCCAGGGACAACATTTTTCATTTTGCAATGGAAAGCATATCTTCAACTCTTGGGTTTAATTATGGGTTTAAGGTGTTTATGTAATTGATTTTGACAAAAAATCTTATTCTCGTAATATTTATTTTTGTCTTAGAGATTTATGTTGTAACATATGTTATTTTACACATGAAAATAAGTTTTATTAAATATAAACTACATTTGTTCTTGAGTAAATGCAATTGTCTACTTGTTACATTTGTTGATGCCCAACTTTGACCAGTAATATACTCCATATATTATTCGTTATTAGTGAAAAAATAAAAATAAAAATAAGATTTTGAAAATTTACAATTAGACAAGTTGAACAATAGTTTAAAAAAGTTAGTAATTCATTAAAAAATAAAGTGTAATCAAAATATTATATATGAATAGTGTAAAATAAAACATGTTGCATTTATTTAAGAACGTAAGTAATTATTTAAAGGAATACTATATTTTAACACTTCAATTAAATTTGGCCCCTGTTGAACGTCGATGCTAGCTAGATCCGCCCCTGTGAACAGTAAACACGTGAACAGTACACGCGTGTACACTAACTGTCTTTTTTTTTCTTTTTGTCCCAGTAACATGAATGATGTAACTCGCGTGTAAAGAAATGTAACTCACGTTGATGAGAAATGTAATCGCAGGTCAGTCAAAATGTAACTTGTCCAATACGAAGCATAAGAAATAAAACATGGATTTCAATGTAAACATGGATTTATGCAAATGGTGAATATAAATTTTGTTTTTTATATCATGACAATAAAAATGATTTTTTTTATTTTTTTTTTGTTTTAAATAGTAGGAGTTAATGTTTGGGTGTAACTCATGTTATTACAAATGTAACTCACGTATTAAACTATGTAACTCGCTTATAAAAAGATATAATACGGTGTATTATCAAATGTAACTCAGGATATAAGATTACAGAGTATATTTTAACCTTAATTATATGTGGTTTGATATAAAATAACTGAGCTTGAAATTTAGAAGGGGCATTTGCGATCTTCCATTGATCCACTCTCAAACAGATTCGATCATCTATTTAACAAACCTATCATCTCTCTGCAATCAGTATCCTTCTCAGAGCGATAAAAAAATTAGCCTGCAACGCCATCACAACAGGAAGATCAGAATGGAAACGGAAGGGAATAGAAGTTGCGTGGCTTCCCAATTGCAAACTAACTTTCCTTTTATGTGGTCACTTTTAGGTGGAAATTGGACCACATAATTTCAATGTTTATTTGTGTGCCAAGGCTTGAGTGGAGCTTCAAGGTTCCTGAAGCTTGAATGGATGGAGGAAGCAGAGTTCGTAGATCAACAGGAAGTGGAACGGAGTGGGAAATAAAAAACAAAGCTCCGCTCTTTTTTTTTACCATAAACGACACCGTATATGGGGATCGGCACACCATGCACATGGTGGGCCGATCCCACGGTATAATTTGCGTTTAAGGACTGTTTTATTTCTCAACTTGGACCATTTGGAGTGGTGAGGTATTAGGAGTCCAAATGGTTAAATGTGAAATTTTTGGACTCTTAATTGTGTGTAGTGGTATTTTAAAATAGATATTAAAAGTGGAAAGGGGGATAGAAGAGGTTATATATAGAGAGTGCGTTGAGAGGAGTGGGAAAAGGGAAAGAAAGAAAAAAAGAAGAAAAATAGTAAAATTTTATGAAAAGGGTTGCATCATAATATCCCAATTTTTTAGAAACTTGTATAACTTTTTTATTTGTTCTACAAATTTTTCAAAATATATATAAAAATTCATAAAATCTTATGATCTTTCATATGACACCAATAAGTAATATATAAAATGAAACAAAAATTCTTAAATTTTAACTCTTGAAGTTTTCTTCAGTCTAAAAAATGATGAAACACAAATTTTTAAGTCATGGAATCTTCACAAATAACTGAATATTTCACAATCGAACATTTAAAAAAATTAATGAAATTTATTTATTTTTACATCGAAATGTGTATTTTTTATTTCACAATTATTTAGGGAAAACATTAAACGGAAAACATTATTTATAATAAATTAATTATTTTTTTACTAAATTGATATGTAAAAAAATATGTTGAGTGTATTTTATTGACGGTGCACGAATGCAGGGAAAAATAGTATTGACGGAGTCTAAACACTGTTTTCATATAGACGGAGTCCAACTTTAACAATTTGGACTCCTAACCACTGCAAATGGTCTAATAACCACAAATAAGTCTAAATATGAACATTGTCAATACAAATATTCCTCCGTCGCACTTAAATCTTTACACTTTTCTTTTTGGAACATCTTATTTACTTCTTTACTTTTCCTGGTTATGCAACTCCTTTTACATTAAATATCCTAACTACTCTTCACCATACACTCTTAACATGGTATCAAAGGTACCAAATACTTGTAAAGAAATTAAGTGCAATATTAAGGATTGTAGCATAGATGCTCTTCATATGCCATTACCATAGGAGTTTGGTGGATGCTTGAGCTTGCACAGTTGCACCCAAGAGTTGATATGTCTGTCAAATTATTTAATCATCGCCACGTAAAGGAAATTACTCTCAACTGATTAAGCATGCATAAAGATTTTCAATGGAGCTTATGGGAAATCAACACTTTTAGTAGTTAATCAAGAAAAAGCTAAATTTGAGCTAGCCTCAGCGGTAATGCCTAACTGATCATTTGATGACTTAAGGGCTCGTTGGAAGTTAAGTACTCAAAATGATAGCAAGCAAATTTTAAAGAAATAGCAAATGTATGATATGGTTAATGTGTAATTTATTTTTAAAATCCACGCAAATTAATTGCACTACTGTACTTTATACTTAGTAAAAAGAACATGTAGGGTACTTTATCATCAATATTTCACGTAAAATATTTTAAATGATACAAAGGATGTAGTATAATACAGAGTATATATATTTACGGAATATGAAATAATCAAATCAAGTGACATAAACTCTTTACTATTCCTACATATACATTTCTAAGGCAAAGTTTAGCGCGCACTCTTTAAATAAAAGAGTTCGATCTAGAATTCGTTTATTAACATTGAAATTGACAGAATCGGTTAAATCTACCGAAGTTGATATAGTTTTGGTAGAAGCGGCTATATTGGGTAAATCTGTTGATTTATAAAAATGTTATATTTAAAATATATTATACTCTTATTTCATTTTTAAAATAAAAATATATAAGTACTACTCTGTATCACTTAAAGTACGAAGTATGCAAATAGCTAAAAGTATCATTTGCAATAACTTTGCTAGAAAAATATTTTCAATCATATTTATTTTATTAAATGAAAAATTTACCGATAAGGTTGATGAAGTCAAAATTTCAATTACTAAATAACAGTTAGGGGTGTGCACTATCCGATTTAAATCGGAAAACTGGACCGATCCAGACCGGAAAAACCGGAACCGGATCGAACTGGAATGATATCCGCTCCATTTTTCAGTTATGAAAATTTAGGAAACCAATTTCCGGTCCGGTTCCGGTTTAAAACCGGATTATTCCGGTTTGAACCAGATTTAACCGGTTTTGCTATGTTTTTAAAAATATATTTACTAATACAAATATAATAATAGTTATAAAAAATATAATACTCCATACTAATAACAATATATAATTGCAATCAATTTCATATAGATTATAATATATATTGTCCTAGGATTATATTTATCCATTCATTTTGTCCTTGTAATAATAAAACTAACTAATATATATTATTCTAGTCTCAAGTTACTCCAATATTTGCTCACTAAAAGTAATTAAAAATAAGTTTAGAAAACAATAATAACAAAAGTAATATATTTAATAATAAGTACTCGATCTTTATCAAATGATTAGTAGCTTTTTAGTAAAGAAAAAAATTATTTATTTAGAAACCGAAATACATCCGGTTCGGTTCCGGATAAAAACCGAAATACATCTGGTCCGAATTTTGGTTTCCATATCATTGGCAAATTCGTCTCCGATTTCGGTCCAGTTCAGTCTGGTCCGGTCCGGTTTTGAACAGATGCACACCCCTAAATTACCAGTACCATCTCCGTATCACTTTAGTTGTTTCACTTTCCTTTTTGGGACGTATCAAATTAATTGTCTTATTTCCCTCTTTGGAACGAAACCCACCACCCTTAAAGCAGTTACGATACCGCTATACTAGTGTTAAAGTAACCGTACAGAACTGCTACAGTACCAAAAAGTCAAAAAACTCTTAGGTTTCATAAAATCTACAATAATTATCTTAAACTCAGTGAAAGTGAAAGGAAAATGTCAACTAAAATGATACCGGAGTAACTATTTATTTGGGTGAAGATAGGTGAAATTGATGGACCCATCGCACCATTTGCTCAATGAGTTGCAAGTTGCAAGTTGCAATAAATGTCACAGAAGCATCATAGGAAGCCTCCTTCATTGTTCAGGTTCCGCTGCAGGGATAATTTGACCATCCCTATATAAACCCTCTCACCCACACTCCTTTTCTTCCCCACACAGTTCCGTATATCCTTCAACAATTCAATCCACTCAGCAGAATCCCACACGTTCCTCCACAAAATGGGTTCACCCGAAGAATCCTATGCTCTTGACCTCATCAGGCGCCACCTTCTTGACGATGTTTTCTTTGAAACTTCCTGTGACAGTCCTGAAATCTCTCAATCCTCGTCTTCCTCTGTTTCTGTAATTTCCGATCAGAAAGATGACAGCTTTTTCCCCGAATTTGAATCTTTCAATCTGCCCACTTTCAGCCCTGTTGATCTAGATTGCTTCGAATTCGACCCGAACCCGCCGCCGGTTGTTTCGAGCTCTCCTAGGAAGAAACCCAACCTTAACATCGAAGTTCTTCTGCCCCAACTCAAGACTGCTGCAGTGACGGTGATTCAAGATTCCGGTGACCAGAAGAGACACTACAGGGGAGTGCGGCAGCGGCCGTGGGGGAAATTCGCGGCGGAGATCCGCGACCCGAACCGGAAAGGGGCCCGGGTTTGGCTGGGGACGTTTGACACGGCGGTGGAGGCAGCCAAGGCCTACGACAGGGCGGCGTTTCGGCTGAGAGGAAACAAGGCTATCATTAACTTCCCACTGGAGGTTGAGAATTTCCGGCAGGGGACGGAGCCGTCGCGTAGCTGTGGCCGGAAAAGGAGAAGAGAATCTGATGCAGAGGATGAGGTAATTGTAACGAAGGAGCTGAAAAGGGAGCTGACTGAAGAATCTTACACGCCGTCGGTCGCCGGAGTTGCTTCCACGCCGTTAACGCCAGCAAGCTGGACGGCGGCGTGGGAATTCGACGATGATACGAAGGGGAATTTCGAAATACCGCCATTATCACCGCTATCACCTAGTTGGTTTAATTATGGGATTAAAGTTTGAGAAATTGGTGCTATTTTCAATTATTCATTAGGTAGAGAGAAAGAGGCACGCCTGACCAAGTCCGAGGTGAAAATCCAACGCATTTGATTTATTTATTTATTTAAAGGTTTATACATGATAATGATAATTATTACTCCATATGAATGTAAATATGTTACTCCATTCTCCCTATATCATGAAAGAATGAAAGCCAGATTTTTGTCTGTTTTTGCAATTTTCTATCGTCGTCTATAGTTTTAATTTAAATTTCCTTTACGAAATGAGTTTGTATAATTCTATTTTTACTCTAAATAAAACTTAACCTCACAATTTCAGTATCTTTATATAATATCTTGGTCCAGTAATCTATGATTTCACTTGGTCTAAGGTTATGGTATGTTTGGCACAACTAGCTGAAAAGATATTTTTATGAGCTTTTTATTAACAGTTAGCTTTTAGTGATTAAAAAGATCTTAAAAAGAAAAGGTTGTAGCTGTTTGGTAAAAAGTCGACTGTTTGATTTAGCTTTGTTTGGTATACAAGCTGTTAGGAGTAATTAATGCTAGAAGCTACGGACTTATCTGAGATGCTACTCACTGTACCATCTCAAAAAAGATCTTTTATTTTTATAAAAGCTCTTAAAAATTGGCGTGTCAAACATACAATTTTATTTTTATAAAAGCTCTTAAAAATTGGCGTGTCAAACATACAACTAGAAGCTTTTAAAGACGTTTTAAATAGTACAAAAACTAGAAGGTAGGAGCTTATGCCCGCCAAACATAGCCTATGTTTGTCAGACATAAGTCTCTACCTTCTGACTTTTGTATTGTTCAAAAAGTTTCTAAAAGCTTTTAGTTATATGTTTGGTATGACAATTTTAAGAGCTTTTCAAAAATTAAAAGATTTTTTTTGAGATGCTACAGGGAGTAGAATCTGAAAAAAGCCCGTAACTTTTAGTACCCCGTATTAATTAGTCCTAACAGCTTGTATATCAAATCGAACTAAATCAAAGAATCAGCTTTTTACCAAACAACTACCACCTTTTCTCTTTAAGATCTTTTCAGTCACTAAAAGCTAATCGTTATTAAAAAGCTAACAAAAGTATCTTTTCGGTCACCCTAAATGGTCCCGTAGTGAAAATTGCATTGAATCTTTTCATTTAGTTTAAAAGCTTTAAGATTTTATTTGTTTTATTTTGTTAATTTGATCTGACATACATGTGGAATCTTATTACTCCCTTCGTCCTCGTAATTTTGTCCTATTTTATCTTTTTCGTCTATCTCATTAGATTTGTCTCATACCAAATTTGGTAATATTTTGATGGCTACAATTCATTCTGACTTTATTCACACTTCATTAATTTAATACCAACCACACATTTCTACTTTTTCTTAAAAATCTCACCACATCCGTTTGTCCCAAACATAGGGGAAGGAGGTAGTATATGTGACTTGAATATATTTGATGTTTTTTTTTGAGAAAATTTGAAATCGAGTCACAAAAGTGGAGTTTGGGATTGTTGGAGGTTACTTTTTCAATTTTCCCCTAATAAGTCTATTTTTTGAGCAAAAAATCCTTAGAGCATCACCAATGGGCAACTGTTAACATAAAATAAATTATAACACATGTCACTCAATGAATGGAATAGTCATCCACATCATTTTGGTAGGATGCACCTGAACCGTGAGGCCCAATAAATCTGTCCAATGCTTCCTGTTAACAGCCCTATTAAAAGTTCACGTGTCAACCGTATATTTTCAAGATGAAATACTGCGTACATCATATTTCATCAAAAATCCTCCTGCTGTACTTGCTTAGTGCCTACCCACACTCCAAACCTTGAGGATGTGTTGCCAAGTTTACATAATTGATAAATTTTGTATCATTTCTTTTAAATATCAAAAGCCACGAAGCATCGATCATATAGTGTCAACTACAAATTTTGTGGAGTTATCGTATCACACAGCTTGTGTGATCCCCACTAATTTTGTGGATTACTTGGGCGCCTGTATCACTACAAAGATCTGGTTTGGAAATTTATGTTAGAGAAGAAGTAATTTAAAGATACAACAATATTAATTAGGGAATACCTTGAACCTATGAATGCTTTTTGTTCTTGATATATATTCTGTATATATAAGTGGTGTATAGAGACTACATGTGAAATTATTTTTGCCAAACAGAAACCCACTACTTGGGTGTATATCGTGGATGATCAATCATGGCGCAGAGATGGTTTATGGGCGAGAGACTTCCTATTTTCTGGATTTTTTGTTGGCGTATTGCTGACTCATCTTGTGGAAGACGCTGTTATCATAAGACATTTGCTTGAACAGTGTTCACGGTTTTTTTTAACACGTCAGATTCACATGAATTTAGAGAGGCTCCGTTGGAGACGAAATTAGTATGAATAATGTTGACATCATGATGTGGCGACGTTTATAAATGTGAACGGTTCACCCACTGGAGATGCTCTAAATGTGAACGGTTCACCCACTGGAGATGCTCTTAGTGTAAAAAAATTCATCTGTTACACACCCACATTTGCATGTGAGTAAAGGTATCAAACTAAAACAATATACCGCCCCACTTTTTCCCGGTTGTTATATCGTGAGATGATCCCACTGTGAGCACTGTACTCTCATATATAAAATGGTGTCGTTTAGTTTAAAGCTTTATATTTAACAAAATTCGTGTGAACAGTACTCTTACATTTGTCTAATTTTTTTTCGTGATGTAAATCCTTTGTATTGATATGTAACTCACGTTATTGTAAAATGTAAATCCAATGTTTTCAAATGTAACTCACGCCCTGGAGTATGTAACTTCGTTTACTCATTTTTTTGAAAGAGTAACTTGTTTTACTCTCTCGAGTTGTTATACCACTTGAAATATAGTTTTTATAAAAATTATTTTTATAAAAATCAATCTATATTTTTTATTTCTATAAAAATGGTTTTTATAAAAATAATTTTTCTTTGAATAGTAGGAGCTTATTTTGTTGTGTAACTCGTTTTATATTGTGGTGTAACTCGTATTATGAAAAATGTAAATCATGTGTAAGTGTGATGTAACTTGGTGAGGAAAGTTGACATGTAACTCACATTCACAGATATGTAACTTGAGATAAATGGAAATGTAAACTCTTTTAATAAAAATGTAACTTTTTTTAGATACCCATGATGATCATCCTCTCCAAAAACTTGAACAAATTAAAAAACTTGAACAAATAGGAACTCAATCCCCTGCGCAAACTCAATCCCCAACTTTAGGACCCAATCCCCAACAAAATAACGTGCAATGTTGCCTTTGCCTTGACAGCAATCCCCTAATTAACTTTTACGTGCAGTGCTTCACTGCCTCTTGCCTTGCCACAAGAGATACTCCACCACCGCCAAGATAGCAGACCTTGGTTTCACCGTGAACACACTGCTCGACATGAAGTAAGAAGATATTGACGACATGATTGATTTCCGGTGGTGATCCATCATAAATCTTTGGTTGCGCCGTCTTCCGGTGGTGAGCACTACAATATCAATCCAGCATCAGGATTGATAAGTTCCGCCGCCACGAGAAGGAGGAGTTGCGCCGCCGTCACTTTCTCGCCGGCGATGGTACGATATAACTTGTTGAGGAAAGTTGACATGTAAATCACATTCACAAATATGTAACTTGAGATAAATAAAAATGTAAATTCTTTTAATAAAAATGTAACTTTTCTTAGATACCCATGGATGATCATCCTCTGCAGAAACTTGAACAAATTAAAAAACTTGAACAAATAGGAACTCAATCCCCTGTGCAAACTCAATCCCCAACTTTAGGACCCAATCCCCAACAAAAGAACGTGCAATGTTGCCTTTTGCCTTGACAGCAACCCCCTAATTAACTTCTACGTGCAGTGCTTCACTGCCTCTTGCCTTGCCACAAGAGATACTCCACCACCGCCAAGATAGCAGACCTTAGTTTCACCGTGAACACGTACACTGCTCGACATGAAGTAAGAAGATACTAACGACATGATTGATTTCCGGTGGTGATCCATCATAAATCTTAGGTTGCGCCGTCTTCCGGTGGTGAGCACTACAATATCAATCCGGCATCAGGATTGATGAGTTCCGCCGCCATGAGAAGGAGGAGTTGCGCCGCCGTCACTTTCTCGCCGGTGATGGTGTCATGACCTTCTTCCTCGATGCTCTCTCTAAAGAAACGCAGTAGTAATAACAAAGTCGGCAGATGCCGTTTTCACCAGGAAACAAGAGTAGCTTTGTTTTTTTATTAAAAAAACTACACCGTTTGGGATCGGCACACCATGCGCAAGGTGGGCCGATCCCACGATATAATTTGTGACTTTTTCCGGTTACAAAATTATTTTCAATTTACTTTTCTTGATTGGTATTTTAATTTCTAATTTCAAGTAGGATTTCTAATCATTGTATTCTTTAATTGTTATTGTAAGTTTGTACGGAGTAATCTATTTGGATATGCGATCATTTGCATTTCTATATAACTTTTAGTATAGTTTTTATATATACAATTATTGCAAAATAATTTATATAGATGTCAAATTAATTTAACGTTGTAATATATGCAAGTGTATGAATTATTTCTTTTATTGTATGTGTATTTGTATCATGTAATTATTTAAACAAGATTCTAAAATTAATGTCATCATTTATTTCTAGAAACCGGCCAGTGAATGACACATCATTATTTAATAACACAGTGTTATTTCAGCTATAAAAAATTCAAATTTACTATAGCAACAGAGTGATTTTGATTTTCAAAAAATGCAATCAAATATCATACTTTAACTTTTATCGATTTACTAAATGGCCCATAACTCAGCTTTAGCATTTTTATCTATTACGTATCAAAAAACACAATAGGAAGACCCTATCAAGAGGCTGTTTGGCAACCCTTATTTTCGGCTTATCAGGCTTATCAGCCAACTTTTTTACCAAACACGTAAATTTTGCTTTCGCGCGCTGAATTGTGTAATAAGCCGAAAAATTAAGGTTGAAGTTACTTTTCTGGCTGTATTGGCTGAAGTTACTGTAGATGACCATTTTAGCTATTTTTACATATAATTTTTTCTTTATTTTATTAATAAAATATATTTTAAATTTTTTTTCTTGTATCAGCAGAATCAGCCAATGCTGCCATTTCAGCCAGAACTTGGAGGTCGTTTGGCAACCCTCATTTTCGGCTTATCAGGCTTATCAGCCAACTCTTTTACCAAACATGTAAATTTTACTTTCGACGCTGAATTGTGTAATAAGCCGAAAAAGTAAGGTTGGAGTTACTTTTCTGGCTGTATTGGCTGAAGTTAATGTAGATGATCATTTTAGCTATTTTTACATATAATTTTTTCTTTATTTTATTAATAAAATATATTTTAATTTTTTTTTCTTGTATCACCAAAATCAGCCAATGCAGCCACTTCAGCCAGAACTTCATAAATTTCAGTAGAATCAGCCAAAACAGTCGATTTTCGTGCTACCAAACGGGCTCTTGATAAATTTCAGCAGAATCAGCCAGAACAGCCGATTTTCATGCTGCCAAATGGGCTCTAAGTCTATAGCAACTTGAAATAATTAATTACATGACCTAAGGCAAAGTTAGATATTTATAAAAATGTGACATGTTAATATGAGTAAATATTGTCATTTATTGACATTATTAGACATTAAATATAGAAATATTTTTCAAACTTTACAGCAATGGTACTCTTATATTGTAGTTTTGAAATATTTTTACTTTTATTTTGGGAAATAGACTTTATCACGGCCCCAATCCTCTTCAGAGCCCTAATCCACAATTCCACACTAGAAACTTTTCCTAAAAGGAGAATTTGAATTTTCCTAATTTCCGAGGCGCATTCAAATTCTAGAAAACGAAAACATGAGCTGTATGAAATTTTGGTGCTTCGTAGGCGATAACATCGCCACATCACTACCAGTGACGAATCTCTTCGGTGTTTATGTGAACACCCAAAAATATAAAATCAATGAGAGTATAATGCATGATGCATGATTAGAGTAATAGTTTATCTATTATTATTATAAGGAGAAAATGTGTAATATTAAACACCCAAAATATAAATACTAGGTCCGTCACTGATCACTACATGTAGGAAAAAAACATCGCTACATAATTTGCGAGGAAAATAAATATGCAAATGATTGGTTCTACCAGGCGTTTCCTAGGAATCTTGCTAAGATGATAATGATATACTTCCTCCGTCTCTATATAATTGTCTGATTTTTACATTTTGGATGTCCTCCTATTATTGTCTCATACCTTATACGGTAACATTTGTGTGGCTCTAATTTATTCTTACTTTATTCTCACTTTATCAACTCATTGTTAACTACATAATTCTTTTTTTTAAACCACATCACTCCCTTCCGTCACAATATTAGGGGGACGGAGAGATTAGCATTTACTAGATCATTTTTTTTTTCATTTCCGGTGTACTTGAATTAATTACTCGGTAATGAATTGATAAGGTCACAAACAAGTTGGTATGAGAGGGACACATAAAATAAACAAAATTTAAAAAATTATGAAGGAATGTGGCAGTCTATTAACAATGCATATTATATTAAATGAATCTCTCTATAAGTGTTTGATGTTCCCTTGAGACAAATTTGATCGTAACAATTTTCTTTTAGCTCAACCTGTTTAGATTTAAAAGTAAAAATCTGCTTTTAGATATAGGGGGTGTTTGGAACTGATTCTGATTCTGCTTCTTTTTAAAGCAGAATCAGAATCAGTTTTCAGAAGCTGGTCACCCCCAGCTTCTAAAAAAACTGATTCTAGGAGTAAATTAGAGCACTAGAATCACTTCTGCACTTTTACCCAAACACTCCAATTTCTGTTTCTGCTCCCTGAAGGAGCAGAAGCAGTTTTAAGAATCAAATCCAAACACTCCATATTTGAAGCATAATCTTCAAACTAAAAATCTGCTTTTAGATATTAAGTTTCTTAGTTGTAATAATAATAATACTAATGATGATGATGATGTATGATCCGAAGGTTAAACATCAAGCAAAAATTATTTGATTTGAATGAAGAATCGCCGAATGCGTTTCACAACTTAAATTTTGGGCCAGTAATCAAGTAGAGTTCATCAACGGAGATGTTTTTATTTACACTTTGCTATAAGTTGGGGACAAAATCAAAAATTCAAAACCAGAGACTGACTAAAATGGAACTGCCAGTATACTATGATACCCATTTTACAATATTATAAACTCTCTCAGTTTATTTTCTTCATTTTTTCTTTTTAGGTCGCTCTCAAAATGTTTGTGTGATTAAATTCCTAGTTTGACTTTACCAGTATTTCAAAAAAAAACTTTTTAAATTGACTTTCCAAATACATCTTTCCTCAAAAGTATAACAGAGAAGGTTAATAAATATAATACGGAGTATGATGTACTCTTCATATGGGATAATGTTTTTGGGAGAAAGTCTGTTTTATTGAACTAGAGAAAAAGTACATGATAATTTGGGGACATGAAACCAATGCCTCTTCCAATTTGGAGTAAAAGATATGCCACGTTTGCAGGCTGAAAGTCAAAAAGAATGAAGGCCGGAAGAATCTGCAAAAGGGCTTTTCTATATACCTGTACAAACAAGAGCC